CCCCAAAACCCCAAAACCCCAAAACCCCAAAACCCCAGAAACCTATTAAAAAATTGAAAAACCCTCTCTAACCCCTCTCCTCCCCCAATATCTCCTCCATCCACTTATCCCTCCAAGATCCCTTCCTGCAGCCACTCTTTCTACTAAGCCCCACTGGCTGCTTTCTCTCAGAGCTAAATCCTTAGTGGCTTCTTGCCAAGATTTTGGCAACAAAGTGGAGAGAAGTGCAGTATGGGTAGGGCTTGAGGAGGAGGAGGAGAGTGGGGATAGGGGAATGGGGAGGGAGATTTTAGGTGGACACTTTTTGGGGTGGATATTGAGAGGGGTTGAAGGAGAGATGGTGGAAAGTGGGGTAGATTAGGCGCGTTTAGGACAAGTATCACACATGTTAATAGTTGCAATTATTTTAAGAAAAATTTCTGACTTTGGTGAATTTTTTTGTTCCAAAAGAACTATTTTAAAGAGATAAAGATTTTGATCTGATTAAAAATTTCTATGGCTTGCATTATATAAAATTCAAACTACTAGACCAAATACTAGAAGATAGATGATTCTGTTTTACGATAAAAGTAGAACAAAAGCAAAGTTGTTCTAATATTTTCTTAATTCAAAATTCAGATTAACAAAAAACACAAATATCATTTTTGAAGAATTTCAGAATTCATTTCCCGTGGATCCACTTCGAGAATTATCAAAAAGCACAAACATAAAATCTTATGTACCAAATTTATTACAAATTATGGCTTCTGAGAGATCTCAAAAGCTTTCCAATTATAATAAGGAAAGATATGCTTAGATTCCTCAAAGACTCTTCTTTCAATAATCTTCATGACTGGACCTTGATCAAGAGTAATTTTAGCTCTATTTTCTTCTTTCACACCTTCTAGATCAGACAAGATGTCAGTATTACTAAGCTCCTCTGGAGATGGGGTTATCTCAGAAAATGGGAAAATACATTCCTGACACTGTAATTTTCCTTTTCAGGCACAATTTCCATCAAGCCTCTGCTTTGTTAAGAAATCCATTATGTGAATATGATTTGGTAGGATATAATCTGCTTTCACCATCATAAAAGTGTCTGCTAAGGCTCCTGTTAACGATTCGTTGTTATTTTTCTATTCTTCTAAGTCATTTTTGGATGATATCTCTGATAGTCTCGCCCTTTTTGACAATAATGGTTTTCTTGATTCCGCTACCATCCCAATAAGAGTATTGAATTTTAATCAATTGCTCTCTAATCTCAAGTGTTTTCTTGATCAGCTATAACGTAAAAATTTATTCATACTCTATTTATTTCGGCTTTCTTATGGATTTCCTCTTCTATCTCCTTCTCTTCATCCTTAAGGAAGGAAGTATTAACAGAGGGGTCTTTTCCAAACCCTTTATACTCTACCTGCTCTTCCTTCTCGTCTTGTGACTCCTTAAATCTTTTATTGGAAAATAAAGATATTTTGGATCCCTCCTTCTTCTGCTTTTCTAAATTTTTCATCCTTAAATTCTTACTCTTTTTCTTCGGGACTTTGACCAGACTTTCCTCTTCTTCATCAAGGAAGGAAAGATTGGCCTTTCTAAAAGGGTTAGCAGAAAATTTGGATACTTTTTCTGATTCATAAGTTTTTCTTTGACCAACCTTTTCTTTTTCAACTCTTCTCTAGCCTTCTCTAGCTCCTTTTGTTCTATAAGATTACCTGAAAGCTTTACCATCAAAATTATCATTAACTTCGTCAAGATAGTCTGTACAACAGTTTTAGGGATACCTCTATGAGGATGCTTACCTAGCTTAGTGCTGACTATAATGTGTAAGACTAGATTTACTTACCTTTTTGGTATTGTTTCTTGGATATCAACCCAACTGATAATTGTGGGTCTGTTGAAAATGCTCTTTCACCAAACTATACATCACAGTCTGTGTTTCAAACTCTTGAATGAGATGTAAAGTCTTACCTTCTTTTCGCTCATTTTTAAATAATTATAAAATTCAATAATTTGTCTAATTGTTGGGGTTTTGGGGTTTTGGGGTTTTGGGGTTTTGGGG